TTGATTTTCCCTGTGAGTCGCTATTATGCCCACAGTGTGAACCAAACCTTACTGCACTACCTGCCCCTTTTGTTAGTGCCAAGTGACTTTAATAACTCCAGTACGGAACACTCTCCCATAATTTGATCCCCACTTCCCTCTTTTTAATAATAGTAATGGTTTCGGGACGCATTTTGATATAAGTGTAATAAGCAAAAATGTTTTGCCAAAAGTTTCGGTAATTTGTAGTTCGTTCGGAGTGGAGGGTAGACGGAGATGTAGTTAAAATTGCAATTTGTACGCATTAGGTAGATTAAAAAGTAGTTTGGTGAACAAACAATCTAGTTGATATACAATAATCATGTAATATTAGATTCTATACAGCGATGAAGTTTTGGAAGTCAGCCTTTTCTTTTTTACAGAGGTAGGTATTTTTTTTAATTTTGTAGGTGAGGCATTTCTGAATCTTTTCTTATTGATAGGAATAAAGGAAGTTTTTGGTGTACCTATATGAAAACCCATTGATTGTTTGAATATTTTACATAGAAGTTTTATTATGCAAAAAGAAAACTCAGCGCGCTCGCAACTACCTAGAAACAAAAATAGGTAGGTACAGATGATCAACATTTTCCATTACTATCAAGTAAAACATTGACATAAATAATATCAATTTGATGTTATTGTAATACAGTTACTATAAAAGTCTCTATCACATTGACTGGAACGTGATCATTGTGTACATAACCTCTAGCCAACTAGTTATTCTAGGAACGTTTGCTGTGAGAAAATAGATTAAAGACGTTTGATTTGCGTTTCTCGTATTTTAATAGATAATTATAACTCAAAAACCTTTTATTGCCTTGTTGTATAAGCTGTAAAATACTGCAATATTATATTTTGACAATGGTCTCATATTTCTTACTTCACATTTAATGCTCACTTTTCAGTCACCTCATACGGTCTATATCTTATCACAATAGTTTTTTTCATGTTTTTAATATTTTATGCCACTCTTGTATTCAATAACCTCTAGGTATTTACCTTACAATAGCCAGAATTAAGCCTACAAAGATAATTTAATCTTATCATTACAGTAGCATAAGTTATTTATCTATGTACCTATTTACAGATGTATCAACAACATAATCAATACATACTTTAATTGAATTACCTATTTTAGATGACACAACTAATAATGTGATTCATCAAACGTTATTTACATTAGAACTTAAATTTTCCATAGGCTTCTAGCATGAACTAGCGTACATGACCTATTCTATTTCAGTTTGAACTGCAAATGACTTATCACGTTATTGCTCTGATATCACATTCGCGTGTCAAACGTGCACCCCTGATATCACATTCCGAAGTACCATTTCATACCTACGTTTCAACACAAGTGATTTCACGTGGGCAACATGTCACTTTGTTGACATGTGCGAGGTACCATACTAAAAGTACAAACAGTAAGGCTGAGTTGCACCAACTTACTTTAACCGAAACCGAAAATAGTTTTTGTGTGGAGTTTGACAGATTTTTGACGTTTGTCAAAGTTATGTAACTCTGCCTAAGTTTGTTCCGTAACACGCTCAATCGATTTCTACTAATACTTATTATAAATGAAAAAATGACTTAAATCGCTAAGAAGAAGAAAAGTATAATAAGGGTATGTATAGAGATTAGGAAAATCCTAGGAAATAGATTTTATTGCAGTTTTAAATCAATATTTTGTTCCATCTTGCCTGCAGCATAAGAAATATAGGACAAATCCGCCTTTTGTTTATAGTGAATTTTTGAGGATGACCCTCGACAATTACCTGCTCCTCCAGTGGAGATTAAAAGGCTTGGTTTTAAGATAAATAAAGACTTCCAGACAGTTAATATTTATCAATTTATAGTTTCTGTCGTATTATATTATTGAAAAATATTATCAGGTGTGTGTGCTAATCCATTGTCAAGTTTACAGAAAAAGCAGTGAGTTTTCTGCCTATTATTATTTTATCTACTTTTCACTTGTGAAAAGGAAAAAGCTTTGACATGTTGATTGCTGCTGATTTTGCATTTATATTTCCGCGCAACAGAGCGGAAGTACCTTACTCATGATTTGCGTTGATTTTTCCTGAAACATCTATTTAATATTTATTTAATAAATTTCCTTTTGCATTCATGCACATTACGGCATTTTCTATCCTTTGCTTTTTGATAAAATTATAATAATACTGTATTTTTCATGCAAATTGTCATAATATAACTTTTATTTTTGTGTTCGCACAGCAGATTAAATTTACTTCATTGATTCCAAATAAAAGTTTTACAATGTAGAGAACATTAAATTTTTGGGCTTTAGTTACTTATGTCTTCATCTTCAAAAAAGCCTGTTTTTATGTAGGTATTCAGTGTTTTAGTGTGAAATTAGTTATAGATACATAAATGGTTCAATCATTATGAGAACGATCCCATAGAAGCATGTGTGTACCTTAAGGTAGCCTTCCGAACTAAGCGTCACAGACGCAGCGTCTTTAGCTTGGGTCTTGTGCCACCAACGCCGCGTACTAACTCGCTTCGAAAGGCTACCTTTAAGACCAAAGCTAAAGACGCTGCGTCTGTGAAGCTTAGTTCAAAAGGCTACCTTTAAATTGAGTTTATTTTTATTTGACGTCATGAACTTAAAAAACAAACATAATAGATAAAAAAATCCAAATAAATCACGTGCGTATTGAAATCCTCATAAAGAACACAGCGACATTATTTTCCCCATACAAGTCTTTGACACACATAATGACGTCGTTAAAACGTGGGTAGAATTCTGTTTTGATGTCACTTCACTGCTGTATCAAAAGACAATAAGAAATTAAGTCTTGCTTTTTGGGAGGACGAATGAACCACTTTTCTGGTTATGGATTGGTACAGATGACACATCTAAATCCTTGTGCCGTTGTAATAAGTACGCTTTTGCTATAAAAATGTATAGTCTGATGGGCTGGCGTCTCTACATCAAAGACTTTGGCAACAGTCGGCCGTTTGGTTCAGAACGGACTACTATGCTGAGAGGACCCGGGTTCGATTCCCGGCCGGGCAGAAATTGAAATGATGAAATTTAATTTCTGTGTCGGGTCTGAGTGTTTTCTATGTATAATATGTATGTATTTCCAAAAAAAAAAGTATCAAGTATGTTTATATCCGTTGTCGAGTACCCATAATACAAGCTTTGCTTAGTTTGGGGCTAGCGGCGCTGTGTAAAATGTCCAAGGATATTTATTTATAGCTACGCTCTAGAGGACTCTACATTGATGTGATTTATTCGGCCAATGTAGAGACATATAGTCTTTGAACTCAGTTCATTTGGCTAAGGATTCTGTATAAAAAAATTAAGAAAGATACTTTAAGGCTATAGCTATTAACGAGCAGTTAACCGAATTTCGTTCGAAGATGATGTTATTATTGAACTGATTCAATACCATTTACAAATATCGAAAATCGAAATAAAGGTAATATGGATTTTATTATATTCTGTCTTTCTATAGGACACAATACATTAGTATTAGCCTCGATGAAATCCTGCAAATTTAATACCAGGTAACCGGAATATGTTTTATGAAATATATTCCAGAATTGTTCAATTGTTCGTTGTCAGTCGTATGAACGAGTACAAGTATGAACTTTATTGAATTTTCTGCTTAGCCAATTCGATTCTCAATATCCTAGAAAACTGATTTGCCTGCTGTCAATTTATTGACATTTATCGCCTACTTGATATCTTCGAGTATAATATAACCTTGATATTGAGTGAATATTTAGATGTATGTAAACAGAATGTGTCAAGTATTGACACCTTTACTTATCAAAGTTTCGAAATCGGAGAACATTGAGTCATTAAATTAGGGTTCGTTCTCATTGCCATCCATTTTTGCGGAATCCAGTAATGCAGGATTTCGAAAAACCGGACTGTCGTGTGAACACATTTCAAGTTCAAACGGAACGGTTTTTTGCGAGACACTCAAACGGGATGTTCGTGTGGACATTGTATTAAAAATTGTATACTACTAAACGGGTTCCTTCAAAAAGGTATGTCTCAATGGGAATAAGCCCCTATAGACTAAGAGCTGGTGAACGCCAGAACCACGTCATTTTATAAAGCTAAAAGTTTGTTAGCGTATGCTCCCATTATAGATCAGATTGTTGGTGCATCATGAAGTTTGGGTCATTGTGGCTTAGCTACTACCCTGAAAAGATTGTCTTGCAAGGATTTGGAACTATCAAAACTGGCTGATGAGGACATGACAAACTATCAACTTTTATAAAATGACGTAGGTCAGGCGTTCACTAGCTCTTAGTCTATTAATTTGAAGTATTGTGGATGCCCCCGGCTGAAACCATTGTTTGGTTCCTCTTCACTGAAGTAATAGTATTGTATGTTCACCAATTCACTTGTAGATTGACAGTTCTTCGAATTAATTCTCGTTAACAATTAAAATACCTACGCGAAAACCGTGAGTTACCTTTCCCGGGTAACTTGAGTGTAAATTGAATAGAATTTCATGAAAATGAATTAAATGAGACCGCAAAGTCCTCAGATCATAGAATGATCTGAGGCTGATTGTTTGGTTTATTGAAATAAAACCTCAACAAATCCATATTTAATTTTATTCCTTCATGTTATATGATATTGGTTATCTTATAAAAGTAAGACTGATGTATTTATTTTCTTTACATCACGAAGGTCTTTGCCTCATTACTTATTTAACCATACAGGGTGGAAACGATAAGTGATCTCACTCGATTATTTCTACACTATTCAAGATATAGAAAAACTGGTCACTGATATTGAAAGTGCTTCACAAGCTCTCTCAAACGGTACCAATAATAGGTTACAGAATAAACTGTGTCCATCTGAAAATTCAATGTTTCCAGCTGTAGTTTTGTAAAACAACACCCATCTCAGGGGTAGTACACATGAAAGTAAACTTATGGTAAGCACAATAATGACAACACTTCAAACTAACAACCATTGTCTTTTTCAGATGGGTTGGTGGGCATGCGGCACGTCATCGCATTCCTGCTGTTCACAGCGACCACCGTCTCCTACGCCACTCGTGTCAGCATGAGCGTCGGCATCGTCGCCATGACAGACAAGACCAGCCCCAACGAGTATGGACATATGGTACACCTTTGAACTTTGAATTACCACAATATTTCAACATAGATATTGCGCAGAAGTGTTAGGGCCCTCGCCCACGACGATTTTAATACGACGCTTCTAACGCGTGTTAGTTGCATTTGCAACGCACTACAGAAGTGATGGCAACGCGCTACTAACGCGCTACAGCAGCGCGACTGCATCGCTACAAAAAGTCGCCGTTGGCGAGGGCCTTTACTAGTAACAAAGACATAAAAAATTGTACTTACTGTTAATGAATGATGCATGGATCATAACCGTATCAACTCGACGCGGTCAGTATTTTACACACGTATACTCATCCACACCATAAAGTAAACGCCTCGCCTCTCAGTTGACAGCGCGGCGAAAGTTGATCCCTTGTTAGGTTGATAAGTGTGCTATACCTTAAGTTGGGACTTCTCATGATCTCTTCGCCACAAATAATATGTACATATATCCCCAAAATATTAAAAATTCTCTACATATATGACGCACAGCTTATTTTGTCAGTAGAGTTATACAGCTTTAGTCGTTTAGAATTAGAATAATTTATAGTAATTAAAATGTATCAGACTGTTAAGTTTGCGTTTCAATATTGTTTTTAACGTTAAATCTGTTTTAAATAAATAAAATGAGATAATACATAAGCGCACCGGACGTTGTGGAAATCCTTGGGAGAGGCCTTTGTCCATCAATGGACGTCATCTGGCCGAAACCAACGAAAGAATAGACATTTTAAATATTTTTAATGACGTCATTTTTTTACAGATCTTCGACTGGGACACGAGTATAAAGAACACGATCTTGTCGTCCTTCTTCTGGGGCTACATTATCCTGCAAATACCGGCTGGCATGCTAGCCGGTCGGTTCGGGGGCAAGTTCCTGGTGTTCGGGGCTATGATGCTGACTGGCGTCGTCAACTTGATACTGCCTATTAGTGCTCAGCATGTAAGTTTATTCAGTTTAATATTAAAAAGATAAATTTACTTAGCTTAAAATTTCCGCTTAGTGACGCCGACACAAGTACCCAACCACACTACCTGTTCGCAGTGACTGTGTTGTATTATAACAAAGCAAAAAGTTTTGTTTATTGGTACAAACGACAGTACATCAAACAACAGTAATTTTTTTTTTAAAGTTGTAAAATTTGCGCTGTAATAATAATAATTTATTGTTATGGTTATTTCCGATTAATTTGCGGGTATCTATGGGCGTCGGTAATCACTTACCATCAGGTGATCCGTCTGCTCGTTTGCCCCCTGTCACATAAAAAACTCCCGTTTCCTTTAGTTACAAATAAGGATTACTAATGAATCTTGATTCAGTATCAAGCTTAGAAATTGCAAATGTTAATTTATATTTTGTCTAGTTATGCTCGTATTTATTTGTGACAATATTGTTTGCAAGTAGGTAATATCGTTCGTCTTCTTTGTGAACTTGGCCGACATACTACCAAGTATCCAGAAAGGAGCATTCTACCACGTTTATTACAAAGACTCCTCCGCATAAATCTCATACATTCACTTACGTCAAATTATTTTGGAAGTAAGAACAGAAAAAGGGGTCCGTAAACTCAGCATTGTTACGTTCCAGTGCGCGATAAATTTGGCAGATGCGTGAAACTGAATATGAAAATAGATAAGTGCGAAAAAAGTTTGTTAGCTGAGGGTTCCGGACCTCTTACTTTTTTTGTAACACGTTTCTTCGCAGTAAAATAAGTGTGTATTTGGTTCCAACGGTTAGCAAGGATTAACCTAGTCCGATGCAGATATCAATGGGGTATTGTCATCTAAATTAAAGTTTTATCAATGCAAAAATCCCATTAGCTAAAAGAAAGCTGTCTGAATTCAAGGCTGAAGATATTACGTCGTTTTCTATTACTATTGTTTGGCTCTTCAAAAATCTAAGCAAATTGAAAGAAAGTCGGGCTAATAATATTAGCCAATATTTTGTTCAAAATCATGAAATTCCTTCCTTCAAACTTCAAGTAAAATCTTTTCAAACTCGAGTACTTATCTTATTTGAAGTCGAGTCCGGGACACAATGGGCTTCCGTCGAAACCCCCCAGTACGAAACCCTAAAACGGGCGCAAAATTATTGAGGAGGACATTCGCAAAAGCGGCAAGTGCCTCAATTTGTTTGGAAAACTATTGATGGGAACATTTCGCAGACACGAGGCGCAAAGTTATTTGTTGTACGAACTGTGAATTGAGGTATTTGTGGAATAATAAGGGTACTTCGAGTTATAAATGTACATAGTTACATTTGGAAACGTTGTGATTGAGTGACTGTGTGATTATTTTCTTCAATAAAATGGAAAAATCACATATCACTACTTGAACTAAAATGTCTGTTTGTTAATGTTACTGACAAAAATAGTGCTTGCTTTATTTAATTTGTGAGCTAGTGTTTATAGTAAACTAGCGGCCGCCCGCGACTTCGTACGCGTGGATCCCGTTTTACCCTCTTAGGGGTGGAGTTTAGTAAAATCCATTCTTTGTGAGCAACTACGTTCTAAAAAGAACCCCCAAGCAAAATTTGATTTTGCATATTGCAAAATTTTTGTTGAGTCAGTCAGTGACCTTTCGCTTTTATAATTATACTAGCTTTCCGCCCGCGGCTTCGCCCGCGTGGAATTTTGTCTGTCACAGAAAAACTTTATCGCGCGCGTCCCTGTTTCAAAAACCGGGATAAAAACTGTCCTATGTTCTTTCCCGGGACTCAAACTATCTCTATGCCAAATTTCATCAAAATCGGTTGCGAGGTTTAAGCGGGAAAGCGTAACAGACAGACAGACAGACAGACAGACAGACAGACAGACAGACAGAGTTACTTTCGCATTTATAATATAAATATTTGCTGAAGATAATAATTTACTGAATATGCTTCTTATTTCTTCCAGGGTGGGTGGATAGCTGTCTGTATATGTCGAGTGGCCATGGGTCTGACCCAGGGTCTGCTGTACCCGAGCATCCATGGGTTACTGGGCCATTGGGCGCCTGTCACGGAGAGGAGTCGACTTGGCACTTTTGTTTACGCTGGTAAGGAATAATGTACCTACCTTTGTGAATATATTAGGAACTACCTATTATAAATAACCTTTCATCTTAGGCTGGGTTGCACCATCTTTCTTTCACTTTAACAACCGTCAAAAATCTGTCAAACTCCACACAACAAACACCGGTTAAAATTAGGTGGGTATCTCAGTCATGATTCTGTGTGCAGAAACTAAATTAAAATAATTTTAATATTAGATAATGGCTGACGGCTTCAATATTATGATTGTCTTCAAAAGATCCGAAAACAATAAAATCTCTTTTCTGCTGTCGAAGCAGTTACCACAACTTTAGTGTCCGATCTTATGAGCTATTAAATTAAATACGCCAATATATCCGAATCAGCTCGTTAACACTACATTACTTTATCAGTTTCATAAAAGATTTTATTTAATAGCGCAATCACCGCAACGCCGTTGAACACGTTTAAAGTTTGGTCATTTACCCACAAAATTAGTCCCACGTCGATTGGGTAACAACTTTCCAGCGTTTATAAATCTAGAAAGTAGACTAAATTGCAGCCCTCAATTTCTCCGAACAAGGAAGATCCAACTATTACAACTTAACTATTTCATCCGATTAAAACTTTCCTGCTAAAACTCTTTAGCGACCGTGGTAAGTCGTTTCTACCAGAAACTCGGTATAATTTGGACAGCTGTAATTTGAGCAATTTCAATACATTCGTAGAACAATTTTTCTTCTGTTCAAAAGTATTAAGTTGGGACTGGAATTCGCTTCTTGCTGCTGTCTTTCCCGAAGACAATAATCCGGGCCTTTTCAAGACGAGAGAGAATAGGCAACAAGGCAGATTATGTACCATCCTAGACTGCATCCCACTTAACATCAGGTGCGATTGTGGTCAAATAACTGCCTTGTTATGCATAAAAAAATAGTTTCAAAGTTTTGAACGAATATTATCCGTGACAAATTATAAATAAAGAGTTGGTTGAAAGGATCATTTCAAATGAAAATAAATAATGAGATGACTACTAATATTAATAAACCTGATTTTGAAAATTTGAGACTATTTTCTAGTCTAAATACGAGTACAATCATAAAAATACTGTCTTGGGAGTATTTTTTCTTTTAAGGTATACCTTATCAAAGATTGCTTTCCGAATACGCAATTCATGTCACTATGTAAAAGAGGGTGGCGGTACTCGACTGGCCGAATCAAGTTCCAAGGAAAGCGCCACTAGTCGAACCCACTCATAACACAAACGTATTCAGCCTACCACGTAACTCGTGTTGGTTAATAATATCTACAATACTTCATTTTTTTTTCCCAGGCGCCCAACTAGGAACAATCATAGAGATGACCACAGCCGGGTTCCTCTCAGCCAGTCCTTGGGGCTGGCCGTCTGTGTTCTACGTGGCTGGCATCATCTGCCTCGTATGGTCGGTGCTGTGGATCGTGCTGGGTGCTTCAGCTCCTGGCACCAGCAGATGGATCTCGATGGAGGAACAGAAGTATATTGAAACGAATGCTGCTTCGGACGAACTGAATAGCGAAGTAAGTTGGGTTGTTGAGTTTTGTTTAATATTATATTTTGAAATCAGAGAATTGCTGTTCTTGCGAGTAGAAATAATCAAAATTCTTAAGGTTTTATTTTAATCTTTCTGCAAATATTTTTCTAGTACCTACCAGATAACAGTAGAGCTAGTCTCGAGACGAAAATATAAATACTATAATAAATATAAATTAATAAATTTGTCCATTTGTGAAGCATCATTATCAATCATTGGATCAGTTAGTTCAGCAATACAACGACTTAGCATAGTATCATGCTAAATGCCGTCTTTTCTTTTCTTATTTTGTGTGGTGTACAATAATAAATATGTTATCTAACTATCTCCTCATCTTTCCAGAGTCTACCCACTCCTTGGAGGAGCATTCTGACGTCGCTCCCGTTCTGGTCCATCCTCATCGCGCACTGCGGTCAGGGCCTGGGATTCTGGACTCTTCTCACGGAACTGCCTTCGTACATGAACAGCGTTCTTGGGGTTAAAATTGAGCATGTAAGTATTATCCCACCAAAAACATTATGTAAAAAACTAGCCAAGTCTCGATGGAGCTGCTTATTTATCTCTAAAAAGTAATTAAATCTAGACAAAGTCGTGCCAAGTCTATGGTTCTTTACTGCGATTTCTTTATTATTATAGTTAGTGTTGTGTGACTTGGCCGTTGAAGGGTACAAAACCAGGTGCTCAATGACACCATTTCACCAATCTGTTGCCAGAACCGCTACCCATTGACGATGGAAAATTGCCACTTGGAAAACGTTGATTTAATAACCAGTCAATTGTAGGCTTAATAAAGCTGCGTATTTCAATAATACTTATGCATGATTATTGATTATCTTAATAAAGATTGTTCAACGGCCAAGTCACACAACATTAACTATAATAATAAAGAAATCGCAGTAAAGAACCATAGACTTGGCACGACTTTGTCTAGATTTCATTACTTTTTAGAGATAAACAAGCAGCTCCATCGAGACTTGGCTAGTTTTTTACATAATGTTTTTGGTGGGATTTCACTCCTTTTTGTAGAATGTGACATAATTATTTAATGTCGTCGTCCTTTAATATTATCGAAATTTTTTTTACGATATTAAACACAGCGACCTTTAAAATTGACAACGAATCAGAATTGTTTTAATAATAACTAACCTTGGCGAACCTCACGATATAATAAACGAAATCAACCCAATTCAAATTACACAACATTCAATTTAATCGACGGGGGAGTCTAGAAAGGATAAAAATCTGCACACCGCGGTGCAGAAAATCGACGCTCAAAGTGCTAGCGCCATCTAGCGGTGAGCGGTACAGGCGAACACCACGGTGCCGGTGTGGCGCTAGTAGTATTGATTATGAATGTGGTGTTACTCCAGATCTTCGATTTTCCTAGTTTTTATAGTTTTCCCTTTATGTGGCCCTTAAACCCTAACTCTGTACCAAATTTCAGCTCTCTGAGTTTATGGGAAGTACTAGTTCTATTTTGATGATCATCAGTGAGTGAGTGAGTGAGTGTCATAAATGCGAAACTTTGCTTTCGCTTAACTTCGGAACTAAATGACCTACACACTTGAAATTTTGGATTTTAAGTATGTGATTATAGCTTACTAGATGACGAACATTTCTGCGTTCTGGTCTTATCCAGAAGTTCTCAAATAGGGGCCTGAAAATGCGGCGAAATGGTTCCAGTAAAGGATGGTACGGCAATGTTTGCGTCGCGCTCGACTTGGCGGGGGCACTGCCGTGCCTCCAGATCTATGGTATCCGCAACTGTATCCTCTGAAGTTGTCCACACACTGGACTGTCTCTCCCTATGAGTCCTACCTATAAGTCCAAATAAAAGACAGGTTTCGGTACCAATCTAAGTAACGTCTCTTGATCAATTACGAGTAGATCTTTTAATTCACTTTTACGGGGCTAAGGCAAATAGCGTTTGGATTTATTTACCTTTTCTGGTAAAGCTATTGCTCATGTCTCTTGTAAACCCTACTATCGTAATATTTGTTGACTTATCTTACGAGATGTTCAATTTATTTATTTAATTTATTTAATTTTCATTCAAATGTATTTGTTACAGGGAGGCGTCCTTTCAGCCTTGCCGTACATAGCGATGTACATCCTGAGTTTCTTCTTTAGCTGGCTCTCAGACTTCCTCGTCAACCGCAACATCATCAGCTTAGTTGCTTCTAGGAAAATCTTCAATACAATTGGTAATTATTTTGGAAGTATATTTTATAAATAGAAATTTTGATCTTCTTTAAATTAGATTTAAAATTAGATAACAAAGGGCCACTGCTAAAAGTTTCCAGTGAGACTTGGTTTTCCCAGGACAGCGCAATTTTAAAATATTATTTTACTATACGACCAAGAATTGAAATGATAATGAATACTAATTGACTAAAATGAGTTTTAAGTAAGAATGATTAAGGAAGTAATTCAAGATAAATCAATCATAATAAGCAGAATAAGTCCATTTAAAATTTTTTAAGTCAATTTCTTAAGAAGTTCAAATTTATTTCCACAATTAAGAGTTTCGACAAGTTTAAAGTCTCCTAAGTTGTCCCTGAGGAAAGAGAATTTGTATAAGTTTTCTAAGTTTTGTCATTATTAAAGGGCCTATCAACGTAGTTGTTAAATTAATTAATGAAATTTAAGTTTCGCGACAGTTGAACTGTTTCACTATCGAGATTTTTTTAAAAGTTAAAAATCCTTAATTAAAAATTGGCATGATTAAATCTTTAAAACTTTGAGACAATTTAATTAATAGAATCTTAGAATCGCTTTCATTAGGTTTTTATAAATAGGCTCATTTTACATAATATTTAGGGGACTTTTAGAACCACTAACCAAGACAATATTACTAGGCTCTCAAGTAAGTATTTTGCTTTACCCTGAGACGATTTCAGGTAAAAATTATTTTGAAATCTTGTACTAGTTCGATTAAAACTTTCACCAAGTGAAGGTATCAATTTGGTGTGAAGTTTCTGAACTAATGTTACAAATATCCCTGCGCCAACCCCTGGTTCTACCTGCCTCATGGTGTACAAAGCCGAACCTCGGGATAGTGCTGGCTCTTTTCCATTTGCGCTATTAGTATTAGTATTAGTACGCTCCCTACGAATTTCTCTATTCCGTTCCTTCTCATAGTCAATTCTCCCCTTGGGGTATGACCCACAAAACGGTACTTCGCGTGGGCTGCTACCATTGATACATAACATAACTTCTTCTCAAAACTTCGCTTTATTGTACTAGTTCTGTAGAACACTAACGTAGGAAACATAGATCTTAACTTAAAATGTTTTTGTCTAACTTTCCAGCCTTCTGGGGTCCAGCAGCAGCTCTACTGGGCCTGTCATACCTCCCTGCGGGACACCTCACCCTGGCTGTTGTCATCTTGACCATCACTGTTGGCCTCAATGGAGCTCACTATGTCGGATTCATGGTAAGACTTGCTGTAGCCAGTTGTCTTCTTAATTAATCGAGTAGCTTATTTATTTCCCTAAACTTTCTTCCAGTTTCATCACGTATTTTATTTGTAAAAAAAATAAGTTTAATCTGTCTACCATAAAAATTGCCCAAACTTTAGGGCTAAATAGCGTTGAGTAAAATGTCTAACGCCCGTTTTCACAAACATTACTATGAGTTCTCACAGTGCGCGAACACGCGAACACACACGAACCAATCATAGAGCTCAATTCAACGCTGTGCGTTCTATTTGCTGCTTCACTTAAGCAAGCATCGTTTGTGAATACGGGTTGTAAGGAAAACTGCGAAACATGCTGCTATGAGTGACTTTACAAATTATTGTGTAGGTACTTAAAGCTTTTCATAACGGTAGTCAATATTCTCGGAATAACATTCTTAACTCATTACTCTAAGAAGCATAGCTTTTAATATCAAATACTCAATTTCACGATGTTAACTAGGGGTTACTTTGCTGCTCTCAAGGCGACCCAAGTTCGCTGCACTAAATGCAAAGTTATAGACCTAACTCACTCGTATCTTGGAAGGAGAAAAGTTTTACCATTTTCTTTTTTAAACCGAATTTTTAAAATGTTAATTCTCGAAAAACGATCTAGGAACCGTATCCCTACATTTTTGGCTACAAAAATGAGAAATTCATAGAAGTTTCTGAAGTAGTTTTAGCATGAATCTATATCCAAATTCCAGGTAACTAATGCTTAAAAGTAATAGGTATTTTCTTTCAGGATAAATGAAATTTGGATGTATAGTATTTCTATCTTTTATGTTTTCGTTCGTTCGTTGCCGAAAGACGTCCATTGCTGGACAAGGGCTTTCCCCAAGGTTTTCAAAAATATGTTTAACTAACTACAATATAATTTTCGTTTTCGTCTTCTAGTTGTCCCACATCGACCTGTCACCGAACTTCGCCAGTACCCTCATGGGCATCACCAACGGCTGCAGCGCCATCTTTTCCATCATGGCGCCGCTTAGCGTGTCAGCTGTTATTCAGGACGAGGTAAATATTGAATTGCTTTGATTTGATATTATGAGAAAAAGTGAAATCGATAAAATGTAAATTAAAAATTCAAATAGGAACCGTGTTTTATCGAATGGTTATTTTACCTTGTACACGATTGCAAAATAATATTCAAATCAAAAAAATGTGTACTGCTAAGGTAAAGCCTTAGCAGTACACATTTTTTTGATTTTTACTTCTACTTAATTTATAAACATAAACATACTAAAAAGTCATAGCAGACTTTGTCAACTCGGAATGGGATCAACACCGTATCGCCTTTAGCGAGCTGTCATCGCCTTTAGCGAGCTGTCATCGCCTTTCGCGCGCTGATAACCGTGAGGCAAGGGGGATAAGACAAGGGTGCATTGCAGTATAGAGTTTCATACAAAGAATACTGACCGCCTTGAGTTGATACAGTTACGATCCCTTTCCGGGTTGATAAATGTGCTAGGTCCTTAAATGGATCTACTTACTGCAATAAATAGCAATGACAATTAAAAAAGAAAACCTGACATCAATTAACAAATGAAACTTTTTCTACCCAGACTCTAGCCTCAGAATGGAGGAAGGTGTTCCTGATCTCAATCGCCTTCTACTTCCTGGGGAACCTGTTCTTCGTGCTGTTCATCTCGGGAGACATCCAGAGCTGGAACGAGCCTGAGAACACCACTGGTGCTGTTGGTACGTAGTTCTTTTATTTACACCATTAAACTTATATTTTAACTTCGTCATAAGGTCATTTTATTCACTATAGCAGAAGAACTTCCTACACTGAAAAAAATGTTCGGTTACTGCTTACGCAACAAAAGTGACCACCGAACACTTTAGTTATGAGGAACAAAATGTTGTGTAAATAAAAATAATAATTCTGTAGTGAGCTAGACTTAGTTTGGTTATAGTTGACACTTAGTTCGGTGGTCACTTTTGTTGTGTAAGCAGTATCCGAACATTTTTTTCAGTGTATAAGAGTCAAATGGAGGATTTGACCCCCATACCCTATGGTTATAATAATGTTCGTCAGTCGTGTTATTTTATTTATCCTTGGAAAAACATTCAAACCAAGATTGAAGAAGTCAGTGAGATGTCTTGGACTCTGCTAGGTTTGGGATTCAATGGGAAATTCATCTCAGTTGGGAAATACTTTATTTTCTGTTAGTAATATGGTTGAATAGGTGAGCAAATAAGTGAAAAAGCTAGAATAAAAATAAAGCAAAGCATAATGAACGTACGTATAAGAACAAGCCTATGTTCTTATCAACTCAATGGTATACCCACTAAATTGGAAATTATAAAGCTCAAAGTATTTAACGTCTTTTAAAAAATAACCCTTTTCCTGGCGCAGTCGAGTAAATCCTCAGAACATCTAAGAATATTATTTAATATTGCTTCATTCACAGGTTTATTATCATATTTATTATCACATTTATTATCATATCATGCATCCTGAATTATCTCAGTAACGTTAAGGAAAGGAATAGGCATCCGAAATAATCTTTTTACAGATGAGGAGCCCAATTAAGAGGCTTAACACCCATATACGATGTGCTTAAAGCTAATGAAGCTTATTCATAAATATAAGATACGAACATCCCAACGTATGTAGCGTGAAAAAATAAGCCAGAAGAAAAAATATAACACAGAATAGGTCTTTTTGAGTAATTTTTAATTCTGTAGACATAGAGTCAGCTCTTTTCTTAAACTTGGTATCATATGCTCGTTTTCACCATCAATACCTAATTTTTAAGTGACCCATAAGGGTAATTTAAAAATTAGGGATTGATGGTGAAAACAGGCATAAGTTAATTAAATCAATTCGATGGGTGCCTGGAATAAAGCCGCAATCGACAAAACGCAATTTTACAGGAGAAGAGATTTAGTGAAATTTTTGAATAATAACTAAACTACGAGGCGTATCCAAATGGTTTGTATATCAAACGATGCGTTGTTTTTTCTGGAGTAACATATAATGTGCATAAGGTTATAGTGCTTAGAATATACCTTAAAAAAGGTAGAAATACATATTGCCGCTTCATACTTTGAAAGTCGGTTCCGTAAGAGTCCATTGTGGTTTCATTCCGGTAAAAAGTGCAAAAGTAATCATACAGCAATAGTGCATTGCAGCGTTGTGCGCTGATCTGAAGGATGTATGGCGAATACAGTAATAGCGGTTTGCTTGAATTTAATGATCGACTTGGAAAATGTACTGGTGAATGCTGTGTACATTATGTTCATATGGTCCGTATCGAAATGAGTACAAAGTTGAATATCTAGAGTGTTTCGTTAATATCTTTATATAAAGTAGTGGAATTCATTAGTACATAATGATAATATTATAATATTACACGCTTTTGCCCGCGGCTTTTTCGTAGTTTAGAAGTTATCAATAATTTTGTAACTTTTTTTCAATTTCATGACCTAGACAGGCTTTAAAAAAACTTATCTTTATTTCGGGTTGACTTATCTCAGATTTCTTTATTTTGACAATATCGCTATTAATTGCAAATGTTTGAAAAAAATATTCACCTTCCTATCTTTGATGCAAGATTCAAAATTTTTGCTAGAAACATAAAAAAAATGCTTTTAGCAGAACATTCTCAAAATTTCAACTTAAATGTTTAAATAATAAAAAATGAGAACTTTCATAGGTCTAAAATAATTTTAAAAACTGCGCAGTTTTCTGGACATTCATAATAATACAAAAAAAACATGTACTTAATAGGCCACTATTTTTGTAATCGCTCCACTAAAGTGGTAAGTCGCTAAATGTTTTTGACTTTCTTAAAGTGAATTAATATGGGCAATCTTCTAAGTTTACATTACGTAGAACAGATTTAGAGACAATAACTGAACAGAACATGTTTTTATTCTCAGCAAGGAAGCTTTTGCCCTTTATCACACCTGGTGGAAACTGTGATCAGGCTCAAGGTAGAAGGAAACTTCAACTACAGAGAAACTATGGCTTCCTACCTCCAATGCCGAAACATATTGTTATTATAAATAAGCTTTAATGAACATAAACCAAATATCCCTCCTTCTTCTCTTCCTAAGTCCCCTTTATCTTCCTAAGTCTGTCGCCATAACAATAATGTTGACAGCATTACTGTGTTCCAGTCCAGCAGTTGTCAGGTAGGTACACAGCATTGCTTAATGTAAATCCAATCAACATATTTTTATTGCATAGAAGAACACCATGAAGTATTATTACTTAAGAAAGTTTAAAGAAATTGTACAAGTAGGTAATGTTTATTGTGACTTGGTACACATAGTTTGTTTCGGGGAACAAAGCCGCAATGGCCGTTACTTGTAGAAGTTTGAAATAAAACTTTTAACATTGAACATGCCACGATTATTCTGGTAAACAAATTTCCGGGAATAACGATTCAATATCCATAGTGCTTTTGGTAAATCGGCCAGTTTCAAAGATAAAATTCTGAAAAAAAATCACAAGGTGTATAGGGACCCCCAGATTACGAAAATCGCTTAATCGGAAAACTGCTGCTATGGCTATTGCGGCTTTATTCCAGGCACCCATCGAATTCTGTCTTTTCTATTTAAAAATTGTATTTACAGTTTTGAAACTCTTGAGTTTAAGCTTGATAAAATAAAAGTTGGTCACTTTTGCCGCATCTACAGATACGGTAATTTGTAATGAGTGAATTATCAAGAGTTAGGCACACACAGAAGGGTCTGGCTGTTGTCCCTGACCCATGTCAGTGGCTTAATTCTGAAATATGTACGGAATTCGCAATGATTACGCAGGGAGTAATCTACATAACTTCCTCCCATTTATAGAACTTGGCAAAGTGTGATAATATGTTCGATTGCAGGGAGTGCAGCGACGTTAATCACGGCTACTGCCAAACTTTATGGGCTAATTGACCCTCTTAGACAATTCCAGAGATTCCCTGGAATTTATTTGGGGCACGCTCTGGAATGCCAGTGATTTAAACGCAGTATTAATGTGGTTCCTTGAGATTGTGAGGTTACCGATTGTTGGAACGTGAGAGTCGGTTGAGTAGTATGGCAAATAGTGCTAAAACAATTCTATTCCCAAATTGGTTGTATGTTTGTAGATACATTTTGATTGTCTTTCCTATAGTATTAGTAAAGGGGTTTGTAAAATTAACAAGGTCCGAAATAACACTGATTTTTTTTTTCGAGAAAATTGGAAGGAAAAATTAACATCAACTTTTGGGCCACTTGTGTACTGTACAGTCAACTATAGCATATAAGAGCTTACATTTTAGTTTCAAAATAGCATCTTTAAAATTATTATGAATAAACTAGAGATGAAACGGATAATAATTGTTTGGCCGGATACCGCATATCCGACCAGCTGCTAGGCCGGATAGCCGGATATCCGGCGGCCGGATAGTTGGCCCATTGTCTCGTTGCATGTCGTGACGAGTTTAGCGTCGCACAGGTGCTTCGAATGCGATGGCAGATGCAGTGGGGTCTGTTAGTAGACTAGACTAGTCACACTTTTAGAAAATTGAATCCGTCAGATTAATTCGGGCGATTTCGATTGCTATCGTGAGTGTGTGATTGAATAGCAAAAATTAAATTGGTTTACTTGTTGCACGTATCCGGCCGAATAGTGAGTTACTATCCGGTATCCGGCCGGTTAGTAAATTTAGGCCGGATATCCGGCCTACCGGATAGTTACCGGATATCCGTTTCATCTCTAGAATAAACCTTTATGTTGATTTATTTTATTAATTGTTTCAGAGGAAGGAGTGAAGAGAAAACAATCGGTTACCGTAAGAAGACCTAGCATAGGGGAGCAGAAGTTCTAAATGCTGTATCGTTTTGTACAAAACTAGTCATAGTTAATTTAATTTATTGATAAAAGAATATCTAGAAATCCAGAAGACGAGTAAAATAAAAACTTAATGATAATTTATATCATAATGAATCCAAATTAAATCTTAATTGATGTACTTACTCTCTATACATTTAAATATGTGATTAATGAAATGAAAAATTAAGTGAATTTATTGTTTGTGATATTTATCTGTGATCAGTGATTTATATACACCTGTATTTTTATCATTATTGTTGGGTAGATTTTGAAGTTCTTTTTTATTTATATACGTACTTGATACATATTATTTATTAACATAATAATACTGATACGACCGAACTGCAAGAACAATTAAACAACCAAAGACCGAGCATAACGTGAAAGGTCAAACCTAACGTGCCTTAATTTATTTGTACCTTTGATAAGTAAAATATGTAAATAAGTATTAAAATAAAAGATATAAAACATTTTTAAAATAGTTTTTGTTTCATTCTTTCACCTTACTGTCCTATAAAATGTGTCAGTGTTGACCCGTGTGAGTTGTCTTATTAAAATGATAAAAACTATCTCTACTAATATTATAAATGCGAAAGTAACTTTGTCTGTCTGTCTTGCTTGCTTTCACGCCTAAACCACTGAACCGATTTTGATGAAATTTGGCATAGAGATTTGTTGAGAGTTTGAGTCCCGGGAAAGGACATAAGATATTTTTTTATCCCGGTTTTTGAAATAGGGCCGCCGCGATGAAGTTTTTCTGTCACAGATAAAATTCAACGCGGGCGAAGCCGCAGGCGGAAAGCTAGTTACTTATAAATCATTCAGAAAACTTTTCCATCATTAAAGGTTGGTGACGCAATTTATTACTCATCTTTAATCACTGAGCACGCTTCTGTCAATTGCACTTTAATTAATATTAACATACTGATGTAGAAAATGGTGCAGGCGTCCTTTTAGCCAAAATAAAATCAGAATAGCTGAAATTGGTACAGTTACGTCTTCGCCGACGTTGACAACTTAAGAAGGTCACACGTTTAAACAATGTTTAAACAGTTAATCAGTGAGACATCTGAGCACTCGGCGCTTTTAATTAAGCACAGCTGCTCTACTTGTTGGACCAACTTCACTTCATAGAGCTAGTAATGTTATTATATTAAGCTAAGAGTTTCTTAAGAACAGTTTAAAACTATTTTTCGACACGCAAAGGGCTCACTTTGTAATCTTTAAAGTTATTATCAAGAATCAAAAAGGCAAGCAGCTGAAAAATTGACATTCACCTTTTCAGTGAATTGTTAGAAGTCGCGACTGATTAAAAGATTGACCAATTTTATTGTTGTTGTGTTTACATCATTATTAGGTCAATTGGTCTCTAATACACGATCCTCCTTTGAAATGAAGGATTGAGCCTACATTCCCATGTCAGCCAAATAGGTATGGCCATGGGGGTCCTGAGGTGGAATTGTGTAAGTAAAGCAATCGTAATCATTTGACAGTTCATAACGTATGATAAAGTCAGATAAACAAAGCGTTTGACAGAATAATCGTACGTTATGAACTATCAAATGATAACGATTTCTTTACACAATTCCACCTCTGATGTTCGTATATTTCTCTCTAAGTCGCTTCTTACGACAACTAATGGGAAAACTATTATATTCTGAAAATTATAAATAACTTGAAAAAATCGAACTGCCTAAGGCGGGAATTGAACCCACGACCTTCCGCTTGCCGGGCGACTGCTCTTCCAACTGAGCTACTTAGACACTGGATGAACCCGTCGAAATTTTCAAGTGTAATACGCTATTACAGCCAGCGTTTGTTTCATCAATGTTAAGTAACCTACCCTACATCTAACAGAAATATTGTTGCAAATATTTAACTGTCAGTTAAGATGAAACAGCTCTTTTTACATAGTTATTTAGTTGGAAGAGCAGTCGCCCGGCAAGCGGAAGGTCGTGGGTTCAATGCCCGCCTTAGGCAGTTCGATTTTTTCAAGTTATTTATAATTTTCAAATTAGTTAAAGCTAAAAATTAAATAACTATTCTATTCTGCTCGAACCATAGGGCTAGCACAGCTAGTCTTAACGAAGCGGTTATGTGTCCTTCCTGCCTACATTTTTTATGTGTAACATAACATAACACTTTGGGTAGCTGAATGGAATCAGTAGAAAAACATTGATAAGTGAGCAAAAGGAAGTTCCAAAACAATAAATATTTGAAACCTTTGGCATATTGTGTATTATTGCGGCCACCATATTTCGAACCTTACTGGGTTGTCATAAGGTCACAGAGTAATGAAAAATGTCAACCTTGTGTGTAAGGGGTTAACCATTGACACAAGAATCAATGTGAAGTGGAAATCTACTGGAGGGTCCCATAAATGGGGCACAATGACCGATCAACTCCGTAGGTCGCCATTATATCACAATGACGTAGGGAAAGCAGTATTCAGACGTTTCTACGCGCTTTTCACGAGATAAGGGCGACTACAGATGTACGACAAAAGTTTATGTTGCTCCGTTATGAAATGCGCGCACGAGTTTGATGATGCATGATGATGCATTGTATTTTTGTAGGAATACCGCGCTATAAATAAGACATCAATCCATTAATTATTGTAATACACAACCTGTAGGCCTAAGATGCGCGCCGTGGTAACTTATATCGACGTCAAAATGTATGGGCAAAATCGATAAAATGGCGTGATAACCGTTTATCGTGGCGCGCATTTTAGGCCTACTGATGGAAAACATTATAAAAGGCAATAAAATATTTCTACATCTTTTCTAAATTAATCACTTGACTAGAATAACATTGTAAACGTAGGAAATTTCATCCAATATTTTTTTTATCCAAGTCCTTTTAAAGAACTCGACTATTAAATTCTTAAAATCCATATAGAAAGAAGAGACAAAAATGTTTTACATTTCCGACAAACCGAATCCGAAATTAAGACATTGTCGCCCTCTCACCACCGACTTTGCGACCACACACCGCGGGTTCCAAGCGGGTGTTAATATTCACGAGCCGTCTCCGCACAAGTGTTTTCCATTCCAATTTTCCTCAGCAATTTTCCGAGGAAAATTACGATCCGCGTAAGTTCCGATTTCATGGCGCTGTCTGCGGGAGCCCTTAAGTCAACGCTTGTTTATTGTACAGTCAACGACTACATTTGTATTTGCAAAAAAAAATAAAACCGACTCCAAAAAACCTACACTAAAACGTTTGCCTGCACCGACTCCAAAAGTATCAATCATGGTATACCTACATAAATATTAATAATTCGTCCTAATAAATAAGTAGGTAATTAGTAATTATTTTTCTACGTTTTAGTGTAGGTTTTTTGGAGTCGGTTTTTTTTTTATAAAATTTCACTTATTTCTTGCTTTTTAGTTAATTAATTATTACCTTGATGTTACCACTGAAGGTAGGCAGTACACTGAGACCAAAAAAAATTGGTTCATAATCGGCGGGAGATATTACGTATAAAAAAGTTCATCCCAATTTTCTACCCTTTGGGGTGAAATATTTTCTTCAAATTCGCATGAAACGACTCTTTTGATAATACCTATTCAACAAAAAATAATCGTTCAAATTGGTTTATAATCGGCGGAGATATTGCGTATAAAAAAGTTCATCCCCAATTTTCCACCCTTAGGGGGTTGTTTTTTTTATTATTAAATTTAAATGGGACCACCCTTGAGGTATTACCTATACGCTGAAATAAGATTTGTTCAAATCGGTTCATAATTGGCGGAGTTATCGCGTAACAAACATAGAAAAAAAAAAAACATACGGGTCGAATTGAGAACCTCCTCCTTTTTTGAAGTCGGTTGAAAATAGCAACTATTACAAACTACATAAGATGCCAATATTTAATTTAACGTGCTGACGTTTGTATCTTAATGGTTAAGCTGATGCGTCGATGAATTGACTCGTCTGAAAGCTTTTGAGTTTTCTCTTTAATTTTACTGCAGGTTATAAAGTTAAGTACCTAGACTTACTAAAGACAATCTTCTCTAAAACGCATTAAATGACAGTCTCAAAAAGAACGCTATCAACATTTTAAGATAAGTGCATTGGCGACAGCTGGAAGCTGGTAGTAATAGGTAATGTATAAAAGTGCAATGTCGTGTCAGCTCTGTTATGTCACATGCAGGAAGGGTCCTGCCATTCCACTAGAGCTAAAACCGACTAAGTTATGTACTATACCCGGTTTTAGCTCTAGTGGAATGGCAGGACCCTTCCTGCATGTGACATAACAGAGCTGACACGACGTACATAATAATATCTAAAGCACTGTGCTTAGTGTGAGTTTGCATTGAACTTAGTCGCTAGCCAGTGCGTCAAAAAATCTATGAATATTTTAGTTCTTGAAAGAATCCACTAGGGACGCTGTACAATCTTTCATAAATTACATTTTTTTTACGCAATCGCTAGTGATGGTGTTTGGTGTAACTCACACTAATCTAAAGTCTTGCTGACATTTTGACACGACAAGGAACACCCCCACGTATCGCTCTACGCTCTACTATGCAGTAAACCTACCTCAAGTTATAAAACCAAATTCAACTGAATCTGAATCGCATCTCTTGTTAATAACCTCATTATTCAAAAGTTCCTCTAAAACTCAGAACAGCGGTACAACTTCACTGCATTCAAGTGCAAGTCTTTTGTAAACCATGTCATTACGAATGCAATGAAACGTTCGCTTTACTTCGTTTGTTCTTAAACTTGGGAACTCGAAAACTTTAGTAATATACAAAATACCAAGAAAATTTTCAATTGAGTTTTTCTAATTGAAGAAACAGGAAGCTGGGTGTATGGAGTCTCGTGATTACACTGTTATGCAAAAATATATTTTGAACTCTTGGGCCGTTTATTAAAACGGCAGCAATATTTTTGAGACTTTTTAGATTATTACGTCTAAGTTAACGTGTTCATTTATACGAGTAAGTATAAAGAAAGTAACGTTGTACAATAACATAATGTTATGACCTCAGATCATACAATCCACAAATGTGTCAAATAAAGTT